CCCCCCCACCCACATCTGGGAGGGCGGCGCCCAAGCGCCCCATATGGGCCAGCCCCCACTGATCTGTATAATTATCAAGACTGTTACACAAACAGTGTTGCCAACTTAGCGACTTTGCGAGTTTTTATGGAGTTAATTTTGTGCCAAAAGTATTAATCAGAATTTTGAAAACAGCAAGCAAATCATTAAGTATCAGAATGAAACTATGTTTTCCAAATATCAAAAAAGTCCAATAAAATCATTTTTTCCTTCTTCTCTAATTTGTTTTGCTTCTGGAATGTTTTTCTTTGCTTTTGATTTTTTTTTTGCTTCTGGAATGCTTTTTTGCTTCCGACTTTTTTGGCACCGTTTTAACGGGTGGGCGGGCCTTAGCAGCTTACACGTCTATTGGTCAGCTGGAATTTGGAATGAACACGCCTTTAACCATCTGAGAACGCCCACTCCATGACACTTCAGAACATCGCAACGTAGCGGGAAGCTCCAGAGCCAGTTTACAGCATTGAATTACATCTTTGTAGTTCTATAATAGTGTACTTTTATTGGGAATCGGTGTATGCAACACATATTTCGCATTCATAAAATGTCACCAACCCATCCAGTTCAGTAACTTTCGCATCATTTTCTCACATTGCCATTGAGAGATTTTTTTCTATTGTCATTTTTTGGTCCGTTTAGATTGTTAATGTAGATTTTATACAAAAAAATTGTGGTTAAAAATGTTAACTGTTCACTTGTTTACTGTGACTTGTACACTTAAGCAAACGTAATAAAAGTAACTCCGCTAGAGTGTCTCTTTGGGGTCACTTTTGCCGGTACCAAGTCAGGATAAAGGAGAAGGGTTGGAATTGTGATATAAAATAAAACAAAAATCGACAGAAGAAAGTTCATTTGTAGTTCTAAACGTATTTAGGGTGTTTTAATCAATTTTTGTCTCTCCCACGACATTATTCCTGTCTCCTACAGCGTCCATTACAATCACACAATTATGCAAATGAGGCGATGGCGTTTACTTACTTCTAGCGCCTTTTGGGACAGCCAATAGCTACTTTCTTTGCTGAGGAGTTGGTAAAAGTGTAAACAATTTGGCCGAGATGGAATTCGCAAAGTACAGTGGTACCTCGGTTCTCAAACTTAATCCGTTCCGGACTCCGGATCGAATCCTAAAAAGTTAGAGTTCTGATCGAATTTTCCCCATAAGAAATAATGGAAAACCAATTAATTGGTTCCCGGCCCACCAAAATTACACCTAAATATGTTTTTTTTTAGCATGTAAACACAAAATGAACAGGATAAAACAAGAAGAGCATTTTTTTCTTAATGGCTTCCAAAACGATAAAGATCTTATCCCAACATTACCCCATGTCCTGCCCCGATTGTCCGCTCCTTCCGTGCCACGC